AAGATGGATGTTACATGCAATTCTTTGAGAAGAGTTCACAGAGGACGTAGATTTGTCATGGCTCCGATTTTCAGTCTCTGGGTTTACAACTTTTTCTTATCTTAATTACAAATGTCTTGTGAAGACACTGGCGTTTTTGACTATTCCATCCCAACTCTAATACAAAAATATGATTTATTGATTGATCTATAAAGAATGCCATAATTTAATCAATAATGCTCCTTATGTGAAATGAATCTATACAACATTATACCTTTCACAGTTTTCTTCAAAGTCATTATAGCTATTCCAAATAGAAGAAGAGTAAAACATCAAAATTAGATTTTTCGGCATCAGTGAATGCCATTATGTTTTCAAATCGCAGTTTTAAATAGAAACTTTAATTAGAAATACTTAATATTATTTTTTCTAAATGAAATAAAGATTCCGTATCACTAACCACTTTTATATCTTTGTGCCTAAATTGAAATGCTAAAAATAAAGTAGAGATTAACTGGATAGATATCAAATATATCATTCCCATCCAATTTTCTCTGAACATAACTTTTGGGATTAGAAAATTATTTAATTTTCTTCTGACATTTGGGTCCAAAATGAGTCCGATGAAGGTGGCCGAGGGTCAAGAAGGATCACAAGAAACTCTGGAGGTTAAACCGTTAGAGCAATGATTAAGGCATGACCTTAAATTTCAGTTCTCCAGGTTTTTCCTAATATGCACATACTTCGTAGAGGTCAATTAGAGCAAATCTAGCCTTTGGAAAATGTATTAAAGAATTATGTGTTTTCTTTATATTCTTTTAATTCCTGAAATTTAGCAATGTGCGCCATCGCCAAAATGTCCATGAAAAATATGGTCTTGATTAATGGGTGAATTGATAGTTTGTACTGAATGAAAAATTAACCAAGTATTTTAATATAAATTAACTAATGAATTTCAAGCTCAATTTCATTTTATTACAATGAATATGAGTTATTTATTAAACTCATCATCAAATCATTGTAAAATTGTTCAGAACTGTATTTGACTTTTAAAGTGCCTACATCTTTCAAGTTTTGTCTTTCCTATAAACCCTTCTTTATAAAAGCAAATTTACTCCAAAGGTGAAAGGTGGGAATTATTTAAGTAATAATTGGCAGATATTTCTCAAACTGATATCGTTAAATTCAATTTAAGGCAATGAAGTCATTCCAAAATTTTATATTGTTAATACTGTCAATGTTCTGTACCTAGTGTGCAATAAGCTCTTGGTAAGTGTTTGTCCGTCATTTGGCCATGTATTAATACAGGAGAAACAGAAGTGAGGTTGATGGGCCTTCACTTCTAGGAATTTACATTTAAATAAGGTAGGGAAGCCAATATAATTGTCAACAATGTAAGTTTCATTTGTTTAGTGAAAGTGCCTACTGATCAAGGCATTTATTTGTTGACATCATAAATGAGACTATCAAAGAATGTTTTGTAAGGTTATTGATATTTTAGTTTTGTTTTGAAGATAGAATATGGACAGCCATGTGGAGATGTGAGAAAGGGAGATGAAGGCAGAGGAAATAGTTTAAACAAATGCACAGCAGTGGGAAAGGGTCAGTCAGTGGAGAAGGGACAAGGATAATTAATTGTAGTTGTCTATAGCTACAGAAGCATTGGGAAGGAGTAATTGGAAATAAACTTGGAAAGGTAAGTTTTCTTTCAATTAAAATTTGTATAATATTTCATTAATTAGACAAATCAAATGAGCTTTGAAGACTTTTGAGTAGGCAGGTGAAATTAAACAGCTTTAGAAACATGCATGCAGCAGCCTGAGAAATACTTCAGTGGGAAGAGAGTGAAGAGATAGAAGTCAGCAAAAGAAATATGGAATCTGATATATCACTCTCAGATTAAAATATATATCTCAGATTACAATTAATGAGTGCATGCATTAGAGAAAAAATGCTAGGAATAAACAAGAAGAATACATACAAGTGATATTTCAGAGTTTATATCTCCAACACGGGAAAATTGATTGATGGTAACCGAAATTGGAATATAAACAGTGAGCAACTTTTGGTGGAAGGGGAATGATTTCAGTTTGCGCATAGGAAGTCTGAAATTAAATTATGCTGTCTGACTCAATACCAGCTGAGGGTTGGAAACTGCAAGATTAGATTTTGAGAAAGTGCAGACTGAAGGTCCAGAGAAAAAAGGAAATTGACACCATGAAATAAAATGATGTCTTAAAGGAGAAAGGGAGAGAAGAAAAGAGGAACAGAATCACAATTCCCTTTTTTCTTCAACCATATAACCTCTTTTCTGCCTCCTTTTCTTCTGTCTGTACATATGTCCAAATCTTCCCCAATTTATAAAAGCCCCCACCAAATGCCCAGAATTGTGGATCCCCAAAACCCTATCCATCGCTTCAGATTGAAGCTTCTAATAAGGACAATCTCAAATTCCTTAACTTCGGCAATTTGCCTCTGTTAATCCCATTACACTTTGTTTTGGTGTTTGTTTGGAGGGGATTTGTTACTTCTCAAAAGGAAAAGTCCCGTTCTGTGAATTCCCACTGGAATTGGCACTGTTTATAGGTTTTAGATACTCTCTTATACCTTGGATCTACTAGTTTTCTTCCTATTCTTTCCTAACTTCTGTGCTTTCCTTAACCTGCTCCTCTCTGAAATGTTAGACTTCCTTGAACACTTCTTGGGCCCTGTAATGTGCCAAGCACTCTCTGAGTATGAAGGAATTATGAATAAAAATAGAATCCAAGATTGAGAAGAAAGAATAAAGTCATGTAACCCAGCCTAAGTTTCTCAAAGTGGTTTCCAGAAGAAGAAGGAATTTATCAGTTGATGATGGGGAGAACAAGAAAACGTGTTTTAAATAGCTTAACAACATATTGACAAGTCTTTCTTGATAAATATTTTCTTCCTGTCTCATGTTTTTGATTCCACATTTTATTTCTTTAGACATTTTCAGCATAGTTATGTTATACTCTTAGTCTAATTCCATTTTTTGAAATTTCATGGGTCCATTTCTCCTATTGATTGTTTCACCTGGCTCTTGCCCAAGTGCCTTGTTTCATCGTGTATTTTATAATGTCAGAATGTGAGTTTGGGTTAAAGAGAGCTTTATTTATAAAAATCTTAGGCAGACTGGGCTGATGATCTAGTTACTCTAAAGGGGATTTATGTTTGCTTCTGCCACTTAGCTGTGAGCCCTACATGTGACACTGCTTTTTAGTTTCATTTCTCAGCTTGGGGTTTCCCAAAAATCACATGGTTCTAGTTAAAATCCTAAAACTGGGAAATGGCAGAACTATGGTTAACCTATTTAAGGAGAAACATTTTCCCCCTAGCAGCCCCAGTGGTCAAGTTTCCACAATCTCACCTCAGTTTGGATCCCGGTTCATTTCCTGGTGAGGGAACCACACCTCTGTTGGTTGTCATGCTGTGATGGCTGCAGGTTGCCGTGCTGCTGAAAGCTATGCCACCGGCATTTCAAATATCAGCAGGGTCACCCATGGTGGATGGGTTTCAGCGGCGCTTCCAGACTAAGACAGACCAGGAAGAAAGACCTGACCACTCACTTCCAAAAAAAAATCGCCCATGAAAACCCTGCGAATAGCAGCTGAGCACTGTTTGATATAGCCCCAGAAGGTGACAAGATGGTGCAAAAAGACATGCCAGGGTTCTGACCCTGCTATACACTGGGTCACTAGGAGTCAGAATAGACTGGATGGCACTAACAACAAAAAATTTTCCCACTGCACAAGCCAGGAGAGACAAGTCTGCTTGTTATCACCCTTTTGGCAGTGGTTTGATTTATTCCATGCCCTTCTTTTTTTTAAAGATTTTATTTTTTTCCTTTTTCTCCCCAAAGCCCCCCAGTACATAGTTGTATATTCTTCGTTGTGGGTCCTTCTAGTTGTGGCATGTGGGACGCTGCCTCAGCGTGGTTTGATGAGTAGTGCCATGTCCGCGCCCAGGATTCGAACCAACGAAACACTGGGCCGCCTGCAGCGGAGCGCGCAAACTTAACCACTCGGCCACGGGGCCAGCCCCAATTCCATGCCCTTCCTATACCAAGGGTGATCTTACTCTGATCCAGAGTTATCTGGTGTTCTATGGCACCCCTTTTCTAGACAGGCTTGTATCCTATCTCTGCTCCATCTATGCATCTTCTGATTACTAAGATCCACAAATTCCCAGTGTCTGCTTGTACTCTAGTTTTTATTTTTGCCATTGTTTCCCTTGAGGCTCCATTACTTTATTTGAAAGCTCAGCATGCATTTCTGGAAGCTAGGGATGGTGGGATAGGGTTTTGCGGGTGTCCACACTATCTTATCCACCATATTATTGGAAATGCAAGTCTTTCAGTTTGTATTAAAGCATAATTTTAATTGTCTTCTAATATTCTAGAATATTCACCTATTTTAGCTCAAATTTGACAACAAACTTATTGAATACTTCCTCTATATTATTGTCATTGTCCTGGTTCCTTCACTTATCTTGTGATGAGGAGTGTTCATTCACTTTTCCCTATTCAATGCTTCCTCTCTTTCCTGTGTGTGCCTTCTTTTGTGGAATATTTTAGTAGACAGTCGAAATGTACTTAATTTATATTTTTATTATTGTAATTATAGTGTAAGATTTACTTTTTTAAGAAAGTTTCAAGTGTTGGGAAAATTTTTTTTTTAGCTATTGCCCAACCTGCTAGCACATCTAAGACCTGGCATATAAATATGGAATAGCTGTCTGAGTATGCATTTGCTCATTTACTTGACAAACAAATTTCAACATATTAGCTTAAATAAGTCTTGCATTTGGTCTGGTTGTGAAGGACATAATAATGTAACAGAATGTTGCTAGTGTTTTACAAAACTTAAATTTCTCTTTACAGGTAATAAAAGGCTGGGGGTAAGATAATTGTTATTTGTACCATGTGATTTATAGATCATGTAATAAAATCTTAGAATTCATATTTAAAACGTAATTAATTGTTACTCAAATATTTTTTTCAGCTCTTCTTCAAGTGACAATTTCACTTAGCAAAGTAGAGCTTAGTGTGGGTGAATCTAAATTCTTCACATGTACAGGTATGTATTTCTACCATTATTTTCAGATAACTTGTTTCATGCTGTAATTATTTAATACAATGTATTGGCAAAATTTAAGTAATGAAAAATTTAATTCTTTAAAAATAGCATATTATCTTGAGTTTATAATGACAGGAAAAGTGTTTATAACCATATTTTGCATATTAAACACTATGAATTTTATTTCTGTTAATTTCCAGTTATTAATTTTCACTGTCAAACTAGCTCATTTATTTTGAAAATAACTTATTATCAAATTAGTGTATGCACAATCACTTAAATCAATTCAAATATTATTCCTGTCTAAATAGTACTATTAGGATGAATGTAAATGTTATAACTGAGCCATCTCTGTAAATATGCAATGAATAAATTAGATATGGCACACTGCACTATAGTTACACTGAATGAAAATTTTAGGACAAAAGAAATCAAATCTACCCTTATAAAAAATGAATTTTTTACGAAAAGTAAACAGCTATTTAATTCAGGAAAACTCTTGCAAAATTTTTGTGACTATTAATCAAAAACACTGTATATCATAATGCTTATGGGAAATTATGTGGACCTCATTCAGTTTAATTATGCACATGCAAAATTTTTTCAGAAGACATTTAAATAGTGAAGCATCAAATTCTAATTGAACATCGTATAGAACTCACAAATGAACGCATTCTACTTCTATTTAGATTCATCATATTTATTTTTATGCATACAAATCTTCAGACCTAAAGTTTTAAAAAATATTTATTTAGTGCCAGAACTGCTTTTTAGAATATTTTAAAATTGTTTCTATTCCTGGTTATACTTAAGCAATTCAAAACTGGATTAAAATAGGCATTTCTGACATAAAATGCATTATAAAAGTTGTCTTAAGAATGGCAAGGCTTATTTAAACTATAATTAAAACTAATAAAAATAGAAACATAGCTATAATAACATATTTATAAATCATGTATATTATATATTATAGTATAGGATATGTTATATCACATATAATATCACATCTTATGAAAAACTAATGGAGGCCATGATTCTTCTTGCATTTGCCTTCTTAAAGGTTGCAGTTGAGGTCTGTTGATATATATTTTTGTATATTGACAAATGGAAAAGCAGAGAGCAAAGGACAGATTGGTTCAACACCATTTATTATGTCAACAGAGCTTTGGTGTAAGAATGTAGGTCATTGTTTCTAAATCTCATCCGTATTATATACACACAAATGCACACATGCACACACACAGCTCAATTGTATTGCATGATCACAGAATAATGAAATTGTTTAAAAATAAATTTTGAAAATAAAATGAAATTGTATTATTTTGTTGGATTTGCATGTTACAATGATATAAATTATATAATGTAATTGCCTCTGTGTGTGTTATATAAGGTCAAATTAAGACATAATGTAAAGAATGAATTAACATCATCCAGTGGTACTGAGTTTTTCTCTTAGTAATAAGAGAAAATACTTAAACATTTTTTCCTCTTATATGAAGATATATAACCTAGAGCTGTAATGTTGTTGTGGAAGTGGCCTTATTTATGTTAAATATAGTAGTAAAATAAAGATGCAGGGAACCCACGCAAATCAGAATGCTTACAAGTATTTTTTCTACTCCGATGTTGACCATGCTGATATGACTCTAAAGTTTCCTAACACCCTCAAACATAGACGTCTAAAACTCAATACAATAAATACGTCTTAAATTTAAACTAGAAGATAGTCAGATCATCAGAGAGTTAAATAAGAGGGTGTCCTATTATTAAAGCAACTACCTCCCTTGAATGAATTATCTTATAACCACTCTGGTTTTATGCTTCCCTTCAGAAAAACTGAAGACAACATAACTAAGATCCATTGAAGATTTAGCTGGAACTTTTTATGCTTTTTCCTCAAGCATGTCTAATTTGATATAGAAAAGAAAATAATTTGTTTCTAAAGCCATTTCTTAGCAAGAAAATAAGAAGGAATGATTTTCCTCAATGAGGTCCTGCAGATGTTAGTTAACTTTCTGCATTTTCCCCCGATACTTTTGAGTTAATAGTGTAGGCTGCTTGACAAATTATCTCCCAAGTAATTAGGTGAAATACATCCTTTTGGTGACTAAAAGCAAACATGGGAAGCTTCAGCTTTTACGAAGAGGATAATAACCTAGATTCTGAATTGGAAAACTTAAATAAATGTTTACCCTGTAATGATTTGGTTGTAATTGCCTAGCAGTATAAGTATCATTTCAATGCATTCTAATTATCATATGATTAAATAGTTAACAGTTTTAGATTAAAATGATGAAACTACTCATTTCAGTTGGGAAAAGAGATTAGTGCTCCATTTTAAAAATAGTCATTGGCCTTATCCATACAAGTTGAACAACTTAGGAAATTAATTCGAAATTCACTATTATCAAAAGCCAAAGTATTTTTTATAAGATTTACATTTTTATGAGCTCTGCTTTATCAGGGAAAAACTGGTATCTCCCAATCATAGCAAAGAGAATTGAGCGGGCAAAATCATGTTTCTGTTCAGATATATCTATCAAGTATAATTTACGTCTGACTCAGTGGCCAATGCAATTTCATAACTTAAGTGTAGTAAGAATCCACAGATGACTATGGTAAAATTTCAACTATCAGAGCTATGTATCATGCTGTATCTTTCCTATGGAACTTTTGGATATTGCTTACTCAAATGGGATTGAATCCTCACCGTTGGATAAATAAGGATGAACATGTGTGTTAACATCTGTATTTACCTTCAATTTTGTAAGATTTTCAGATTTTCAGTCTCCTCCTATTTACATTTTTTTCTAAATTCTTAAAAGTTGTTACATAGTAGTAAATGCCAATGCTGAAACAAACACTTGAAACATTTCTTCAAACATTTCTTCTCCATGCTTCTTTGCAGCAATTGGTGAACCTGAGAGTATAGATTGGTATAATCCTCAAGGAGAGAAGATCATTTCAACACAGAGGGTAGTGGTGCAGAAGGAAGGTGTTAGGTCACGATTAACCATCTACAACGCAAATATAGAAGATGCAGGGATATATCGTTGTCAAGCAACAGATGCCAAAGGACAGACACAGGAAGCCACAGTTGTTTTGGAAATTTACCGTAAGTCATGTATTTATAAGGTTTAGTTGATTGAAACTGAAGTCTTACAAAGATTCAAACAAAATAAAATGTAATTAACAGTAAGATCAAACGCTGATTAAGAACTATGTGCTAGGCAATGTTTCAAGACAATTACAGATGTTGTCTTACAGTGATGTGTTGCTTGATGAAGGAGATTTGTTCTGAGAAATGCGTCATGAGGCAATTTCGTAGTTGTGTGTATTTGCACACGCTTCGTAGAGTGTACTTACACAAATCTAGATGATATAGCCTACAACTCATCTAGGCATTATGGTACTAATCTTATGGGACTACTGTTGTATTTGTGGTCTGTCGTTGACCAAAAGTCTTCATACAGTGCGTGACTATATTTATATATTACCATACTGTATCATTAAAATCAAATATATAATAGGTAATAGTTATAAACCTAGAGATGGAGCCAGTTCCATTGGTTAAATGATATAGATAAAAATGTTTTAATTTTCACAGGCCATTAAGAATCTGTTGGGTAAATAGAAAACAGTAGTTTATTTAATGGTATGAAATTTATTGGGTGTACTTTTTCACTCTAAAATAAAAAGTCATGATAAGAACAAGTGAAATTACTATTTGATAACAGTGACCAGTCTGGAAGGAGAATTCGGGAAGGGTCAGTGAACAGGAGTAGACAGAGAAGAAGCTGAAAACTCGTCTAGTGGAGAATACCATCCAGCCGGATTCTTCACCACCAGTCGTTTTCATTAACGAGCTTTTCCACACATATGCTTCATCATATGACTTGAGATTGATTGCTTCCTACATTCCCTTCCCCTTCTCCCATTTAGGAATTATTAACCTGTTTAGGAACAGTGTTTGGGAAGCCTGTTGACTCCGGGTATGAAACCAGGCTTTATCACTTACTTTCATGGCCTCAAGCACTCGCCTGACCTTTCTGTCTTCTGTTTCTTCATCTATAAAATGAGTATAATAGTAATACCTACCTCATACATACAGTTGTTTTGAGGACTATCTTAATTAATATTGCATGAGCTGCTTAGAACAATGCCTTACAATTAATATGTGGTGGTTACCAGTTCTACCAGTGTAAAATTATAATTTTTTAAAGAATACTAGCTCATAAGGCATTTCTTTCTTATAGCTTTGTTTTTTATTATTCTAGAAATAAGATATGAAAAAAAAGCCAAAGCATTTCCACAGTATGACTTCCTCTTTGATGACCAGGGCAATTTGTTGGCACATTTTTGCCCTCATTTTTCCTGCATTGGCTTCTCCCCCCCATTAGTTTCTAAGATCCTCAAGGAAAGACATTTTCCCTATTTATGTGACCTTTACTGTACCTATTTCCTAAATAGAAAAAAAATTAAATTGAAATAGTCATTTCATAGACAGAGTATTAGGAAAATTTTTTCTTTTGAGGAAGATTAGCCCTGAGCTAACATCCGCCACCAATCCTCCTCTTTTTGCTGAAGAAGAGTAGCCCTGAGCTAACATCTGTGCCCACCTTCCTCTATTTTATATGTGGGACACCTGCCTCAGTATGGCTTGATAAGCAATGCGTAGGTCCGCGCTTGGGATCCAAACTGGTGAACCCCTGGCCTCTGAAGCAGAGAGCACCAACTTAACCACTACGCCACCAGGACAGCTCGGGAAAGATTTTTTATGACTTTAAATGATGCAAAGGAAGATCCCTGATGTTTATTGGTGAAAGTAAAGAAATAATATTTTTTGGCAAAAACAACAAATTACATTTAAAAAAATTTCTCAAGTATAAATATCCATGTTTATTCATTTGTTCAACACACTTACTGAGTGTCTACTACATGGCAGACAATATTCTAAGTCCTAGAGACTCAGTAGTGACTGAAACAAAAGTCACTGGCCACTTGATGCATATATTTTAGTGAGCAAAGACAGATAAACAATAAGTAAGCTTAAAAACATAGATGCCAGCTTTACATGTTATGTAATTCTATAGTAAGGAAATTAAATGGGGTAGAGAGATAGGGGGAATTGAAATGGGAAAGGAGATGGCTATTTTATCTATGGAGATCAGGCAGAAATGTGAAAGAATGTAAGGGAGTGCACATGCCCCAGGGTGAGAACAAACCTGGTGTGTTCAAGGAATTTTTGCAAAGACAGTCTGTCTAGAGCCCAGAGACTAGGAAGAGAGAGGAGAAATTGGATCAGAGTTGTGGGGCAGACTCCACTTCATCTAGGACCTACTATGGCATTATAAGGACTTTGGATTTTCTTCTCAATAAGGTGAGAAGTTATCTGGTAGAGGAATTAGATGATCTAGTTTAAGATGCTGAAGGATCTAGATTTCACTAATTATTTTATTATAGCGTCAATCAACACAGATTCTGGAATACGTTATTGGACGAAAGAAGTAATAATACTTTTACGGTCTGTTTTACTTTCTTGGTACAGAAAAACTCACCTTCAGAGAAGTGGTATCTCCTCAAGAGTTCAAACAAGGAGAGAATGCAGAAGTGGTTTGCCGCGTTAACAGTTCACCTGCGCCGGTTGTCAGCTGGTTGTATCATAATGAGGAAGTCACCGCTATTTCCGACAGTTAGTATTTTGGTAACTCCCTAAGTTATATGTTCTAATAATATTGCAATTTTTTAAAAGACTAAATCTACCTGACTGAATATAGAAATTGAATTTTTGGACCCTTAGCATCGAACAACTACTTTGAGAACCTTAAAGCTCTAAACTAGGAATTGGGAAACTAAGGCCCTCGGGCCAAATTCAGCCCCTCTGCTGATTTGTAAGTTGTTGTGAGAATACAGCCAAGCCCAGTTGTAACATGTTGTCTATGGCTGCTTTGGGGACAGGGTTAAGCAGCAGTGACACAGATGGTTTGGCCTACAAAGCCTGCGATAGCTATTATCTGGAGATTTACAGAAAAAGTTTGCTGATCCCTGCTCTGTTCAAGAAAATATTTCATACAAACAGTGCAAGGATACTAAGTAAATAAAGGAATCAATCCGGATGCATTCAAATTTTACATATTATAATTCAGACATGAACCCATGGGCCAACTATATGTAAACTTAAAATAACATCTATATGAATCCTGTTTATTATTCTGGCACTGTTCTTTCAAAGAGACCTACATGTTCTAAATATTATGGTAAGACGCATATCAGTAATAGACAGAAAAGTACATTCATTCAAATTGTCTTCAAGATTTTGATTCAGACTGAGCTAAAATTCTGGAATAATATGACATCTGAAATCGAAAGCATAATTTGCTTACATTATGCTACTTTGCCTTTGTGCATTGGGAGCATTTTGAATTTAGAATATTTTTCAATGCACCTGCATTGCAGAGGTACAAAATAATTGAATCATTTTGAATGCTTTCCATCTTGGATGATTCCATTTTGTGTTTCTAAGAGATGAAACTTCTGCAGATTAAAGGAGAGACAGCAGAGTATCTATTTTTTAACATGTACAGAGAATGTATCATAATGTTTAATAGTCCTTTTTTAATTGTGAGAGAATTTTTAGCCTAGGCATTTTCAATGCTTGTCACTTATTGATTAAAACTCTTTTTCTGTTATAATAAGTTAATGAGAAATAATACTTTATTTCCTAGTTTAGAATAACTGCTTTAGATTTTATTAACAAATTGCATGAGTAAATTATGCAATGTATTTTCAGCTTTTTTCTCCTCAATGATGAAGAAAAGGCAGTTCTTTTATAGCAATTAAATGACAACGTCTAAACATTTTCAGATTGCCTAATCTTAGGTTTTAAGTGTACGTCTGGTTTATTGTAAACCTTAATTACAAGGAGGTTTTGAAATGAATTACATTTTTTAAAAGATGCATAGCACAAAAGCCTCAAAGCAAAGATTGGTGGTCAAGTATAGGGGTGACAGAGGAGAGATGCTTCTATGCTATAGCCTACAGACTTTTTACCTGTATCCCAGGATGGAACAATGCAAAGCTGAATTCCATTGTCCTTCTACTCCTTTCCTTGGCCCTGAAGCTTTGAACAACTTTTGTAACTGTTGAGTACCTAATTCAGATTCTTCATTTGTAAACAGTGGATTATTATATCCATTTTAAACAATGGTTGTGAGTTTTAAGTAAAATATTAAACATATAATAAGTATTTGTTAAGTGAATGAATATTTGGCTATATATATCAGGTTCTCAATAAATGAGATTAATTTTCTTGTTCCTTCTCACTGAGTCTTTTAAATCTTGAGAATCAGTTTTACCAAAATTCTATGTGTTCAGGTTATATCTAGAACCAGAAAACCCAATGGAGTGGAAGTGACTAGACTAGAGTTAAACTTGAAATGTAACACTGAGTTACATGGCAGACAAAAAAAAAAAAGCACATAATTCTTTTTCTACTCTGAGATATAAAGGTTTTGGGTGAATTGGGAGGAAGGACAAACTTTTCTAACCCTTGAATGTTGGAGGAACTTGCCACATAGTTCATTATCAAAGAATTTGTATGTTCATAATGGATTTACAAGAAGTAATATGCTTCACCTGATCATAACTTAGCTAGTCCCTTGATTAAAACTAATGGAATAAAATTAGGTTTATAACTATGAAGACAGTGTATGTAGGGATTTCGAATAGTGTAGTGTGTACAGGTAACTTTCTGAAGCTTTAATTTGGTGTGAGAGTAAAGTGTAGAAGCTCCAGATGAAACAATGAAGACCTGGAAAGGTATACCTTTTTTGTTTTGTTTTGTTTTGGTGAAGAAGATTTTCCCTGAGCTAACACCTGTTGCCAATCTGCCTCTCAGTGTTTGAGGAAGATTGTCCTTGTTCTAATATCTGTGCCAATCTTCCTCTATTTTGTATGTGGGATGCCACCACAGCATGGCTTGATAAGAGCAGTGTGTAGGTCCATGCCTGGGATCAAAACCTGTGAACTCCGGGCTGCTGAAGCAGAATGTACAAATTTAACCACTATGCCACTGGGCCAGCCCCAGAAATGTCCATCTTATTAGCCATGCTTTTGGTAGCAGCTATGTGGCAGATATTCAGAATTAAAATTCTCACAGAATATTTGAAGCAGAGGTTCTCCATGTTGCTTGTTGAAAGGACATCCATATGCTAAAGAAACTCAAGCATTTCGGGAGTACAGATGACATTATGTTGTAAAAGTTGAATATCCTGACTTTTAGTGTCACTCTGTTGGAGGATATGCTACTGCAGATGCCCGTTCAACCTCAGCCAGTTTGAAACTTATCTGTGAAACTTCCCAAATGCTTTGATCACTGCCTAATGAAGTACCCTTTAGCATGAAAAACTATACGTGAAATCTTGTTCAATAAAATTTGTACGTAATCTACTTCCAATATAAAAATTCCTTCAACAGTTGTTGAACACCTGGTATATGCCATCTAGTATGCTAAATGGTGGTTAATCATGGTTAACAAGATAAAAAAGTTTGCTGCCTTCAAAATACTAATAATCTAGTGGAAAAGATAAATAGCTCAGTGAAGACAAGCTATGATGAGGTCTATGAAAAGGAAAGTTCAGTGATAGAGGATTATAAAGGAAGAACCCCTATGGTAAAGGAGGGTGTCCAGGATGCCTGCTGAAGAGAGAAGTGACTTTTAAATATGAAAAAGGATTAGCCAGGCAAAGAATTTTGGGGACTTTTCAGGAGGCAAGATCATCATATACAGTGGCCCAGAGGTTAAAGACAGCATGAATAGCACTTTCTAGAAACTGGAATAAGTTCTTTCTAATTAGAATTTGTGAATAAGAACAACTAGAATACTTATACTAATAGGTAAATATCACTAGGATTTGTTAATAAAAGACTAATAAGAAAGCAAGCTAGAAAGGAAGGTTGAGCCAACTCAAGACAGCCTTGACATCTCTACTAAGTAGTTTGGAATTTATCCAAAGGGGATGTCACTAAGGGATTTTATTCAAGGCAATGACATGACCTGATATGTGTTGGAGAAGGATATTAGTGCTTCAGTGAGGAGATTGATGGGAGTCAAAGCAAAACTCCAGGCACTGAGAACTGTTCAAAACTTAATGAAATAATCACTGAGGGAGAAGGAGATTTAGACTTAGTAATGATAAAAGGAGAAGTGATAGGATGCGGGATGTGATTGGATATGCAGACCAAGGGAGATGGAGAAGTCAAGGATGACTCAAGGAATTAAAATTGGGCGAATAGTTCCAAGACTTGTAGAATTTACCTTGGGCAGCTAGCTCAATGTGAAGACACATGAAGACAGAACTGCTGAGTACCATATGAGAAACTTCAGGTGGAGACAGTGAACTAAATTTTAAGCATGCTGAGATGGAAGTACTTACAACTCTTCTCAGTAGGTACATCTGGTAGACTGTTAAACAGTTCTGGAATTCACAGAACACTCTGATCTGAAGAAAAACTATGAGTCTCAAAATACAGATGGCAATTGAAGCAGTGAGAGTGGATGAGACAAACCATCAGTGGCTGTGAAATGAGAAGAAAAGAGAATTTAGAACACAATCTGCTTAAAGAAGCATAAAGGAGATACCTTATTGAGTATTATCTGATTTCATTCATTTTTCTTTCTGTAATAATGAAAATTTGGGCTTCTTTATATCAGAGAAACAGAGAATCTCCAATAGTTCTGATATCCACTGTTATGTGTGATTGATTGAAGCAGTAGTATTTCAACTACTTTCTGGAAACACATATTATTGATGTATGTTGGTTTGATAGTTTACGAACACCATTCCATGGACTTTATACACATATTTAGGAATTAACAAGAAATTTTCATGTAATTTGTTTTCGGTATGGAGAAATTTTTGTATACTTAAACATATATAATAGTGTGAATTTAAGTTTAGCAGGAAATTACTATTTTCCTAATGTTCTAATAGTTTTCTCTCAGACAGTAGAAATGATATGTTAGGATGGCCATTTCAAACTAAAATTTTGCAATTAGAAGAAACACTGATTCATTCCCATCAAAAATATGTGTTATGTAAATTCTGTTCTTTCTCTTTTTATATTAAGCATTGCCTTCCTGGTTAAAACAATGCTTCCCCTTGCTATTTTTTTTCATATTTAAATTATAACCATTAAAGAACATTATAGTTAAAGAATGTTACATATTTTAGCAAGTTAGAAAATATAAAATTGCAATGATCTAGGTCTGATTAGATACATCACTCTCTAAATTTGAACTTTTTTCTTTCTAATTGCTTCTCATTCTGATTTCCAACCACACATTTGAATAGAGAATCTTTTAATTGACTTTGAAACATTATGAATTTTTAGGTTTTAGGAGTTCTAAGTTACTCCGACTTCTTGTGAATTATACTTTAAAATTTCTTGCAGATTGCTTTTATTTCTCTCCAATCTTTCCTTTGGTGAGAAAATTTACCAGGGGAAAGCATCCATATAAACATTTTTGTCTCTCTTCTCAAGGTCAAGCTATGGAAGAAATAAACATTATGGGAAAGTTTATACTCCTGGGCTGAAAATCATGTGTCTGTAGCTTTATAACCAATATTTTCTCTCTGAGGGAGCCTCTAAATCTGCATGTTACCACTCTATTAACTTTTCTCTTGCTTACTTGTTTTAATGACCTCCTGTAGGCTGATCATTCCCCTATTTGAATTTCTAGCCCAAACTTCTCCCCTTGCTATGGCAAATGAATCTCAATCTGAATTGAACCCCAACCTGCCTAATATCATAGCAGTTTATTTCTCACCCATGCAAAGTCCAATTGGCAGCAGGGATAGAGGCAGGATTCTACCCTACACATCCATTCAGTGATCCAGGCTGAGGGAAGCTCTACCTTTTTCTCATGTGACTTCCATGTCTGCCCTAACCTCTTTATCAAGCCAGCAGAAAGGGGCAAGGACAGCACACAATGGAACAGGTCCAAAAAGTAACCTTTAATGGTATAATGATGAATATCCCAGAGGTGGGCACCTTAAAATAATGGCATTCATACTTTACCAAAAGGCCCAAGGGAGTCAAAGATATGTCTCTTATTCACCAAAGTATCTCAAATATAGTACGTGGCAAATAGATGATGTTCCATGATATCCATGGATGCGTTAATTAATGAAATTTAGGGTATTGCCTTTACAACATGTTTCAAAATAAGACTAGAAGTCAGAACATTCTTTAGTTGATAAGAAGAGAAAATGTCTTAACACTGCAACAAAACTGTGATGATTAAAAACTAAGGCTAGGGCTAGCCCAGTGGCATAGTGGTTAGGTTTGCACACTCCGCTTTGGTGGCCTGGGGTTCACAGGTTTGTATCCTGGGCGTGGACCTACACACCACTCATCTAGCCATGCTGTGATGGCATCCCACATACAAAATAGAGGAAGATTGGTGCAGATGTTAGCTCAGGGACAATCTTCCTCACCAAAAAAACCCAAAAAACCAAAAAACACTAAGGCCAGACATTATGGAAAATACTGTCAGGCTGTGCCACTGCTTAGTCTAGACAGATCATTTTACGCAATAGCTAATGCCTGCTCTATAAAAGCTTATTTTTCTATGTATGCATGTGCACACACTCACACATAAAATGGAATCTTGAAATAAAAGTAATGAAGTCTAATCTATTCATTCCTAAAATGGATTATCTTGCACTTAGGAAAAAAAATCCTCAAATACATTCAAGATATGACCATTTCATATGTCCTCTATGTGACTTGAATATTTTTATATAATTTAGCTGCTTCCTCAGGGTATGCAAAATTATTAGTTTAATTATAGTATGGGGAAGGATATTCAATCAATTTTCTAACTGTTTTCCATACCCAAGTTGCTGCTTATTTGCAGTCAAAATGTTTTCATGTCTGCAATATCTAATCTCTCTGCATTGTTCTTTTGTGTATCATTTCTGCATTCAAAGTACCAAGGGGAAAATAATAGCCTAACCATTTTATGTGGAAATAAAGTCTTGAATGTATTTTAGAAAAAAGGTGTAGCAAGGCAGTATGGAGTGGAAAAATTGAAGTCGTGAAATTACATTTTACTTTCAAATTTGAATTTGTTTGTTGATGAAAAGTTTGATAGTGTCAGACTAGTGCCATATTTTAACGCTTAGCAATTTAGAACACACCGGACTCTGCCTTCTATTACTGATATCGTTTCCTCCCCTTTGCTTCCTTTTCAGATCGGTTCGCTATGTTAGCCAACAATAATCTGCAGATTCTCAGCATCAATAAAAGCGATGAAGGTATATACAGGTGTGAAGGAAGAGTGGAGGCTAGGGGAGAAATTGACTTCCGTGATATCATCGTCATTGTCAATGGTAAGCAGGGAATTATTTGTACATATTTTGTTTCATTTCAGCAATATGTTTATTAAAAGGGCAACCATGTAAACTCAGCACTCACTTCCCTAATAAACCTCTTCCACGCCTGGAGGAAACCTCCCCATCTCTATGACAGCATCTGTTACATTGTATTTTAGCCTCAAGGGTAGGATCCATGACTTATTTAACATTGTCAGCCTGTTTCTCAGAGTCTTTGAAGGAGCCCTTGCCTTCTGCTGACTCTGTAGTTGTTGAAAGAATGCCAAATGAAACATAGTTAAGTATCATATTAGATTCTACTTTTAAATTGCAAGAATTACGTGTTGCTTAAACTAATCTGTTTGACAGTTTCCAGATTTTCTTAAATTTAATAATTGAATCCATAAGATTACCCTCTCCAATATTAAGGGACATTAATAATGAAGTTTCTGGCATCATGACGTGTCTTCCTCCAAACTTGGCTTCTCCTGCTATGTTTCCTGCTTGTGTTAAAGTGACAGTCTCTGAGGCCTGAAGATATATGAATGTTATCTTAGTTGTCTCCATTTTGGTAATCTAATGTGTTATCAAGATGGGCTCATTTGGTGTTCTGATCACCAGTTCCAGTGTGTATGTTTGGGGGTGGGGGTGGTTCCCCACACCAACAAGCAATGCTGAGGACCCAGCTGGGTCACCTAGGATTCAACTCAATTCTGGTTTTATTAACTGGCAATAGCATCAGAAACCACAGTCGTCCCCCTATTTCAGAACACACTTGCAAGCCTAGGTTGTCACCTGTGCTTCTGATCACTGGCTATATATCAGAGGTTCCCAGAGTCCCCTTTTCAGGTTCATTTAATTTGCTACAGCAGCTCACAGAACTCAGAGAAACATTTTACTTACTAGATTACTGGTTTATAATAAAAGGATATAATTTCGGAACAGCCAGATGGAAGAGATGCATAGGGCAAGATATGGGGAGCTTTCAGGTTCTCTCCAGCTCTATACTCTCCTCCCATCTCCACAAGTTCACCAACCCAGAAGCTCCCTAACCTCATCCTTTTGGGTTTTAATGAAGGCTTCATTCCAAAGGCGTGATTGATTAAATCATTGGCCAAGGGCAATTGATTCAGCCTCCATCCCCTCACCCTTCTCCCCTCCCTGGATTCGGGGAAGGGTACTGAGCATTCCATCCCTCCAGTCATGTTGGTTCCCCTGGCAACCAGCCCCATCTTTAGGTTATCTAAGGGCCTTCAAAAAATCACCTCATTTACATAACAAAAGCCACCTTTTTACCCTTATCACTTGTGAAATTCCAAAGCTTTTAGGAGCTCTGTGCCAGAAACAGGGACTAGGACCGAATATATGTTTCTTATTATAAATCACAATATCACATGTGCCCATTATATTTTCTCAACATCTCTCAAATGTACTCTTTTCTCTATCATCATGCCTTCCGTAAGAGTGCTGCTCAGGGGGGCCAGCCCCGAGCCCAGTGGTTAAGTTCATGCACTCTGCTTTGGCAATCCAGGGTTTCACAGGTTTGAATCCTGGGCAGGAAGATGGCACCACTCATCAACCCATGCTGTGGCAGCATCCCACATAGCACAACTAGAAAATACAACTATGTACTGGGGAGCTTTGGGGAGAAGAAGAAAAAAGAAAAAAGTAGATTGGCAATAGATGTTAGCTCAGGTGCCAATCTTTCAATCTTTAAGGCAAAGCAAAAACAAAAAGAGTGCTGCCTTCATTACTGCACAAGGAGCACGATCTGCTCCCTGTGATACAAAAGCCAATCGTCAAGAGGCAAGATGGTGGCAGAGAAAGGGCATTTTATTACACCTTGCTAGCAAGAGGGAAGATGGCTGACAAATGTCCAAAAGAACCATCGTAAGGGGGCACAGAAACTTGAAGCTCTTATATAGGCCAGTGGGTTATAGGGGAGGGGTTAGGAATGTTGACACTCTGGTGTTACAGGCTGGGAGTTGCACACCAGATCTTTCAGTTGTCATTGATGATGGCTATCAGCATAGACTCTCTGTTTGGGGGTCATCATATTCCTAAGGAACTCAAAAGAATGAAGTTATGGTCTTATCGCAGCTGGAGGTATATGTACTAGCAGGAGGCATAAAATCCACAGAACAGGTGGATCTCCTGGAGGGTGCAAATCCAGCTGGGTTAGTTAGTCAGAGGTCATTCACAGTTATCACATGGTCTCTTTTCTACAATATGGCTTTCCTTATGTCAACCTTGTGTTGAGCCAGTTTCACCTTTTCTGTTTTTTTTCTTTTCAGTTGCTACAACTTGTTTTCACTGCTCTCAATCACAATTCCATGTTCCTCGCCACCAAATCTTTCACCCTTACAACTTTTGTTTCCCATTACCTACAAGATAAAATGACAACCACTTTTCATGGCATTGGAAGCCTTTTATGATCCAGCCCTCCTTCCCTGACCCTTTAGCCATGAGTACCCTATGCTTGTCATGTGGAAATACTAGTAGCAACACTACACAAATGTTTTTCATTTTTTCTGCTTTAAAATAACAAGTTATCAATTACTGTATCACAGGATTCTTTAACCAGAATGTAATTTGCTTTTTTTAGGAAAGACAAAATTTGAATGTAAAGAGTTAGCCATGAGTTTCGTATGAATTAGTGCAAGGACAAGGAAAAATAAATCAGTATCTCCTCAACCTCCACCCACCTCCCCTCAAAGGCTATCTCTCCAAATTTTTGAGGAGACTGGAAACCACTAGGAATATCATATATCTCTACAAGAGTTACTCGTTTTTTTCTTTTCTAGAGTGAAAGTAGTTTAACCAGAAATATCATGCTAAAAAGAGAAGGAGAATATTAAATTACAGTTATTTTTTCTCTCTTTCTCTCTGTCTATAATTAATTGGGATTTGTCGGTGATAAAATGGAATAGACCAGGTGGTATGGACATGGAAACGAGGCAGGCTGGGTGAAATTTCACATGCTTATGGGGGAGACCAAAGCACCAGACCTTCAAAGGAGATCTTCCAGATCTCAGCGTTTCAGAGCCTTTTTTAGGAATGCAGAGTCTGGTATTCATGAAGAGTGTCACAGTAGTAGTTTCGAACTTCAACATAAGAGGAAGATTTCAGAGGATAATGGATAGGCTTAAATACGGAGTTGTGTATCTACATAAGCATCTTTAATTGCTTTCTCTCTTTATTATATATAATAAACAGAGCTAACTTAGAGTAGCTATTGAGTTTGTTAATTGTTGACTTAACTGTCTGCCATGCTTTATTTCCAAAAGAATTCAAGGTAGCATATATAAGCATATTTTGTCATGGCAAGTCCTTGTGGTCAGTATGCTCTTATGAAAATGAAGATTACAATATTTGCTAATGCATGAATTCTTTATAAAGTGCTAAGTTTATAAGAAGCATATATAAATCTTTACTATTATATATCATATATGTATGTATATGTAAAATTATGCACATGTTTTTACACCAAAACATCTTGAGTTTCATATTCCAAAGGAACTGTCATCTGGCAGACATAGCATGTTAACTGTTTATTATCAATTCTACTCTTGTAATTTCTACTTTCATACATTTATCATCATCTATGAGGAAGAAGTTGCCTTTTGCTAACTTTGTAGTTATTGAAAGAATGCCAAATGAAACATAACAAAGTATACTAATTACATTTTACTTTTAAGTTACATGATTTACTTATTGCTTAAACTAATCTATGTGACAGTATTTACAGGTTTTCTCACATTTAATAATTAAGTCCATATGGTTACCCTTTCAAGTTTTAATGGACATTAATAACTAAAAATTAATTAGTTGATTAATTAATAATTAATTACTTAGTTAAAGATTATTAATTAATCATCTGGCAGACATAGCATATTAACCCTTTATTATCCATTCTGCTATTATTTCTACTTTGTTACATTTATTATAGTCTATGAGGAAGTAGCTTCCTTTTGGTGACTTTTATTCGTTAACTACAAATTATTAGTTAATTAGTTAACATTAATTAATAACTGGTCTCTTGCAATATTAGATTATCTGTGAATGTTTGTGTATTAATGATTACATTTATTTTGAAGGAAGGATTATTTGGGTCTAATGAATTTGGAATCTTCAAGTCCATCATGGTCTGCGTTCAAACTGGAATATTTAGCTCTGTATGTCTACACTTATTATTTCAGGGTTCACAAAGAGATAAACACTGGAATGTATTCTTTTGTACCACTCAGATCAATCATGTAGGTAATGTCCTGTTCTGTCTGCCTCACCCCAGCCCTCCCCAATACAAATCCTCCTCTTTCCGCATCCCACTTTCCTCTAACAGAATCAACCTCAGATCCTAATCTGACCTCCTTTGCCTTAACAATGCTTTATCTCCAGTTCTAATTAGTCACATTTTCCCTGTAAGGTCACAAACTATCATACCTTAGAAGTCTTGGTACCTCTTTTCTTCAAAATAACAGTGTTCACAAACTCAACCATTGATTGAGTCCCTTCTGGATGATGCAGCTGGACTCTGTGAAGGGAATGCATTAACTAATGCCTCCAGACATTGGTGCTTTCTCTCCCATTCTGCTTTTGCTACATCCAGAAAAATCACTGTGCTCCAGTCATGTTGACTGTTTCCCTGCTTACTGGCTCCTTTTAAATTCCGAGCTCTCCTTAAAGGTATCCCCGTATTATTTCTCTCTTATAAAACCTCTTAAAGATGTTTCAGTGAAAAGTTTGAGGCTGCAAAAAATAATAAAATAAAAGTGATAACTATATCTACATTATTTTATCTTTCTTCACTTACAGAACTTGACTCACCTTTTTCTCCAAAACCCAGTCCCCCCTGATATTGTGAGCTCTCTCTCTTAATTGCTTCTAATTTTATCCTTAATGATTTGGGCTTCATCCTGGACCCCTTTCATTCCTCTCCTTCCCCCTCAAAGTATACTGAAGTCCCAATCGTATACTCCACGCAACTGCTTCTCCACATTCACTGCATCCTTGCCAAA